AGAGATGAAGGAATACACACTAGGTGGACTTCTTCCCTGTTACAGAATCATCAGAGACAGTCTCCCTGCTTAGATGGCATTTGACCAAAGCCTTAGGACTTCAGAGTCTTCAGGAGATACAATTTGGATGGTGAACAGTCTTCTGGCCTCAGATTCCTCATACTTAAACAGGGGTAATTATATGTGCAGCAGTGTGTGAGATGGAATCAGTGGATCAGAGAGCCTCATGTGGACTCGTCCTCATAGTATACCAGTGGTTTGACTGTGTGGGCTAGGCAACTGTAATTCCTATGTTGCAAACTTAACAAAAACTGTAACTAGAAGTTATCATCACAGGGATATAAAGTAGGAACAAAGAGAAAAATATTTAAGATGCTGCCTGACCTACAACCTCTCATATTTCCCTTGCAGGCTCATGGAGAGGTTTCTCATGGATGGATTGTATCCTTCAGGGCTTGAAATTCCCCCTGTTCCTATGTCTCCTCCAACTCTCATGCAGTTTAACCTCCTGTCTACTCCTTTATACCAGCAGCCCAGAGAAGACCAATAGGTTTCCTTCACACTGGCTCCTCACTGGTTGACCCATACCACAGCCAATAATACAGGCTGTTGCTACTAGAGCATACTCATATTTGGATTTCCACTAGGAAGACAGGAAGAATAGCAGGCAACACTTAGTCTGAATCAAATGCCTTGATTCAAACCCTGCCTCCTACTTAGCAGTTCTGACTTTGGGCAAGTCACTTAACCTCTCATCTCAGAGCTTAAAAAGTCTGTGATGTGAATAAATTTTGTAAAATATAAGATACCAGCTCCGTCCTCTTCCCATCATATAGATTTGGAGTAAGAACTTACCTATAACTGAGAGCTTCTTTAAAAGTTCTCCAGGTGGACCACTGAGAACTGCAGGCAAGAACTGCAGGACTCTGTTCTCTGCCCTGGCCCTAACCCCAAAAGGCTGATGTCACTCACCCTAGAATCTAGATATTTTGTTCAAGCTACACCAAACACTCCTGTGCACCCATCCTATCTGTATTGTTTTGGCTTTGCTCATTAAACTGTCCAGAATATTTCGGCTTCAAGAAATGCTTTTTCCCAGATTTTTTTCTTAAAGAGTTTCACACACAAGTGAACTTGGGTTTATATATACTTTGTCAGCTACCTGACTATGGGTGCTTTTATCCATTAGACAGTCATATTACTTACTGCTTAAAGTCAGTATTTCCTTTCTACCCTATAAGAACTGAGTCCATGAAGGAGTTGATGTATCTACAGTTGTATTTTCCAACTTCATGATGCTGCTTAAGACAGTTTATTAAAATCCTACTCCATGTTAGATGTCCAGGACATGCTCCTAGCCCCTGCTACCCTCACTATTCTGTAGACCCTGTGCTGTTGAAACTGGCTCTGTCTGTATAATTCATTCAGTTTAAAATTTTAACTTTATAAATAGAGGACAGAGGCAGTAGAATGACAAGTTTGAGATCAGCCTGAGCTACACTGGGAAAACCTATCTCAAAAAACAAAACAACAAAAACTAGGCTGAAGAGATGGCTTGGTGGTTAAGAGCATGTCCTGTTCTTCCAGAGGACCTAAGTTCAAGTCCCAGAATCTGTCAGACAGCTCACAGCAGCCTGTAACTCCAGCACTGCACTCATGCACAAACTCACGCAGATAATTTAAAATAATTTTTAAAAAGTAAGGAAAGGGCCTATTCTATCACACAAACACTCCCCTCTTTCCTTACTCCTCTGTTTATTCACCTTTGCTCCTTAACATGCATCTAGTCAGCCACAGCAACTGTCCACGTATGCTCTGACTCTGTATAAGCACACAGCCACTGTAGACGGCAAGACCATCCTTGTGGGTGAGCAGCATGTACCCGGGCCATACTGAGCTGGGCAGGGAAAGGGGGTTAGGAAAGGAAATCCATGGGAGAGAGTGAAGGAGAGAGGAAAATGGAGAGCCAGAAAGCATGGAAGGAGATACACAAGGGCATATAGTCTCTAATGACGCCCAGGCCAGGACAAGTGTGCAGAGCAGAGTTCAGAAAAGCAGACATTGGAAGATTATTCCTGTCAGAGAGAAAAGGAAAACAGAGGCCTACCAGGCAGTAGATTTCCTCATTGCAGGGCTTCTTGTTCGGCTAATATAAAGAAATAACATCTGTGGTCTGACTTTTTCAAATGTAAGCCTTGATCTTTCAGTGGGATTACCAGGCCTTATATCCTGCCTTTTCACCATCTGTGAAAATTTAGGTCTTGAAGGGTCTACGGGGCACTTACATTCCCGCTTCTGGGACTTTCTGTCTGCACTGTCCTTCCTCCTGATTCTGTGTCCTCCTATATATACCAGTGTATGCTACCTCTCACAACACACCCATATTTCTACATAGATATGTACACAGAAATGCTTGGGGCATGTAGGTCTCTCTGCCCTCCAGCCACATCAGTCAGAGTTGTGTTCATGTTGCAGACTTCTGGGATACAGCAGGCCAGGAGCGGTTCCAGAGCATGCATGCCTCCTATTACTACAAGGCCCACGCCTGCATCATGGTATGAAACCAGCTGGGTGGTAAACTGGGCAAATTGACATAATGGGTGGAGGGGACAAGAGGCTCATCAGTCCTCGGTCCCATTACCAGAGCTGGGCATGTTGAAGGGGGTTCAAGGCCACCCAGATGCTTCACCCCAGAGCTTCTAACTAAGAACATGCCAGAAGGGCTGTCCTCAGATGAGGGCAGATAAAACAAAGGTGAAGAAGCTGGACTTCAACAGCAGATATAGTGTTCAAGCCTGACCTGGCTGAACCAGAGCCACAGTGCCTTCCTGATGGGCAAGCACAGTCAAGCTCCTAGGGCCTCCTCAACTGTTGCCCACTGCTTCTGAAGGACCTTTCCCTCTCAAACTAGTCCTCACCTCCCTCCCAGTCTCTCACTGTACTATAGTCACCAGGGTTCCACCCAGTGGCTAGGGGTAGTAGATGCCACAGAAGTACCTGAAGTTCAGTGTGTATGCGGCTCAAGAGATTATGTATCCTAGGAGGTCCTGCCTATGAATTCCTAGGCTCATTTTGCAGGCCACTACTATATGCTGAAGAGTATGTTTTACTTTTGGTCTACTTAATAAAACATTTTCTCTAATACCAAGCCTATGTAACACATGAGTCAATAGACTGGTTTGAGGTGAGACTTCTTTGATTTGGGTTGGTTTGGTTTGGGTACTGGGGAGTAAACTCAGGGCTCTGTGCATGCTAAGAACATATTCTACCACTGAACTGCAACTAAATCCCATAGTCTGCTTGTCTTAATTATGAACCCTAGGAATTGTCTCCAAGTGAGAACTTTAGTCACCCAGACTTCTTAGAACAGCATTCAAGGTTTTACACAAAACCCAAACTTGATGGCACAAAACAATTTTCTGCATCAGGAATCCACAGTGTCTGGGATCTCAGCTGAGAAAACTCCTAAGCTGAGTCACAGTCATCTCACCACATGCTGGCAGCAGGCTGGTCCATGATCAGGTACTGCTCTGTGTCTGCCCTGAGTACTTTTTCAGTACGAGCTAATGTGGATTTGCTCACAGAGTGGCAATTGGACCTCAAGACTGAGTGCCCAAAGAAAATGAAGTAGAATCGATATTGTACTATGGCCTAGCTCCATTAAGTCACATAACCTCAGTCTGGCCCTAATCACAAAAGGAAGAAACAGGTGTGTCCCTAATAAGAACAAATGGGATGGATAAATTGGCATCCTTGTTATGTAAGTCTGCCCTGGCACTTTGTAGCATTTGGCACCACCCACACTTCTGGCCCCACCTCCTACAGTATTTGTAACCTTGTTCTCACTGTGAATGGGCATCATTTCATCCATAAGTAGCAGTAGCAAAAGGGATACAGAAGAAACTGGTCCATTCTCTCACACATACACTCTCTGCTCTTCCCTCAACCCTCTGGAATTTACGTCCATTCCATGAAAATGCTGCTTATGGTTCAGTCTCTGCTGAGATGCCACCACCTCTGTGCAGCCTCTTCCAATCTTGAGTTGCTCTTCCTTTGCGCACCTGCAGGACTCTAACCACTTGTACATAGACTGACAGTCATGTACATATACAGGCCACATGCAGGGGCTTGCCAGCTGGTAGACACCCACAGTGATGACAGAGAGTAAGGAAGGGACTCATCACCTGTTCCTCCAAGTCCCCCAAGTACAAAAACCCTTGAGAAGTTCCAATTTTTTTATATTTTATTTATTATTTTTATTTTATGTGTATGAGTGTATTGCCTGCATGTATGTGAGTGCACCCATGTTGTGCAATGTCACGGAGGTCAGAAGAGGGCTTTGGATCCCCCTGAAACTGGAGTTAAGGACAGTACGTAGCCTCCATGTGGGTGCTGGGACTCAAACCCAGGTCCTGTGCAAGACCAGTCAGTGCTCTTAACCACTGAGCCATCTCTCCAGCCCCTAAGTTCCAGATTTTTTATTATAACTAAGGGTACTAAAAAAAAGAGGGTGTGAGGTAAGGCAAATGCGGCTATGTAACCCCAGAAATCTGATGACTCCCCACCCCCAGGAACAGGAAGGTCAGCCTTAGCCATTTTAGCTTCAGTTCTGCTCTGGCATTTGATATTTGAGCTCACCTCTTTTCTGTCTGGGAGTGACTTCCCATCTGTATGCATGTCTATTGGTTTCTCTCAGGCCTTTTCTGAGGGCACTGGTCTGAGTTTACACACTCCTACTTAGCTATATATCATCTGGAGATGATACCGTACCTTGACATACCTGAACTTTTACTCTCTACAGGTATTTGATGTCCAGAGGAAAATCACCTATAAGAACCTGAGTACCTGGTATGCAGAACTTCGGGAGTTCAGGCCGGAGATCCCATGCATCCTGGTGGCCAATAAAATCGATGGTGGGGCCATCCCTTTACCTGGGTGACAGTAATTCCTGGGGACCCAGCACCACACACATCCTTTCCCAGGATGGGCCACCTTCAGTTATTTGCCTTCCCAAGATATTCCCTTCCCAGTAAATATGCTAGTAATACAAACGTCCTCCCAGTACATAAATTCCTGTTACCTGAACTCTTTTGAGAGCACATTACCTAATGTCCCTTCCCAACTTTCTAGCACAGAGCCTCCATTGACCCTCTCTCCAAACTCTTCCCTTTCCCTGGATGGACAGGCCAATGCCCTACTTCTCTCTGCAGCAGATATACAGATGACACAAAAAAACTTCAGTTTTGCCAAGAAGTTCTCCCTGCCCCTGTACTTTGTCTCAGCAGCCGATGGTACCAATGTTGTAAAGGTAATGGCAGACCAAAGGCAGGCGGGTGAGGTGGGTTATAGGTTCTGAAGTTGCAGGGAGGCTAGAAGGGAAGGGAAGAGGACAGGGACGGTGAGTGGTGGCTATGTAAAACAGAGAGAAGAGGCTGGTCAGGCTACATTTGTCTACTGACTATGCATAGGATCAGGGCAATAGGGAGAAGATACATTGAGGGTGATATTGTTGGTTATAAAGGTAGGTCCAGGATCCTCTGACCACTGCCACACTTTGCTTCTACCATTTCTGCCTCACCTTTAGCTCTTCAATGATGCAATTCGATTAGCTGTGGCTTACAAACAAAGTTCCCAGGATTTCATGGATGAGGTTTTACAGGAGCTCGAGGTAAGTCAGGCCCAGTTTCTAACGGGACAGAAAAAGTAGGCAGTCTCTTCAGTGATGTGAAATACAATCTAATACAGGATGTTTTGTCTGCCTTTGCTACCCCTAAATATCTTAGAGCTGTTGTTGGTCAAATGCAGGGCCAGGTCTCACCTGTGACCTTGTTCGCAGAACTTCAAGTTGGAGCAGAACGAGGAAAATACAGCAGACCAAGAGCAGAGTGACAGGTCAAGAACCCGTCTCCCCCTTGATCAGAGGACAGCAGCATATAGATGAGTTGGGGTGCTGGGGAGCCTTTTGGAATACTCATACATCTCTGGAGAACTTCTCCAGGCTACCCCTGCTCAACTTCCTGCAAATTCACTGTCCTGTGGTTCAGGATGAGGTCAAAACAAGCACACTGGACCAATGTGACATCCCACCAACTTCCAGCAGTAGAGTGAGGGACCAGTCAGTGTCTCACATCTCCCCATCCCACCAGGCAGTGTAGAATCAGTGAATATGTTCATGTGATTTAGTGGACATTTAGATGTTTGTAGTTTTTCATTCCAAACTGACCTCAGGGACCTTGACCTGCCAAGAGAATGATTGCTAACCCAATTGCCCCATTCCCCTGCAGCACGTGTGACACCTATGTCCCTTTTCCCTTTGAGTCTCCCCACAAACTTTTTTAAACAATGTTTTGGACAGACAACTGTTCATTTCAGATTTTATTTTTTTTTTAGTACTGAGTGTTTCAGGACCACTTCTGGGTCAGGCTGAGATCACAGGAACAAGTTTGCATTACAGTTAAATAGAAACAGATGACAAGTCTAGCCGTATCTGGTAATGCACACATTACTGTGCCCCACCACAGGAACCACAGTTTCTTTCAAAGCCTCCCTCAGAATAGGAGGCTGTCCTCCATTTCTCTAGGATTAGTAAAAACACACCTTCTGTAGGTGTCGGAGAACTACAGAGGAAGACCTGCTGCCTGAAGCTAGTTGGCATTTATGATTGTCCAGCATCATCTGAATTTTATTCATTGTTTTCTTTGTATTGTATCCTTTTTTACAATAAAGATTAAATTTCACAAACAGTATATGTGTTTGCTTCGTGGATCTAAAGTGTACAAAGGAAAACATCAACCACATTAATGAGGGAAGACTGCCACAGGGTAGCCCAAGTAAACTCTTGATCAACTAAAGACCACTTAAGTGGAATTTAGTGTGGTTTGGGGGGATTGTTTTGTTGGGTTTGGTTTGGGGCTTTTTTTAAATTTTTATTAAAAGACTGGGGATCTCAATAACATGTTTCCCCTTTAAGTAAATGATAGATGTTCAGTTTCTGACCAAGAATTTTCAGGAATGCATTGCCTTGATGAAGTAAGTTTTTTTTAATATTTTATTTATTATTTATTTATGTTTGGTCTTTTTGAGACAGGGTCTCCCTGTAGCCCCAGCTGACCTGGAATTCGCTATGTAGACCAGGCTGGCCTCGAACTCACAGAGATCCACCTGCCTCTGCCTCCCAAGTGCTGGGATTAAAAGCTTGCACCACTGCCCGGCTATTTTTTTTTCTTTTGTCTTTTTGAGACAGGGTCTCCGGGTAGTCCCAGCTGTCCTGGAACTCACTATGTAGACCAGGCTGGCCTCGAACTCACAGAGATCCACTTGCCTCTGCCACCCAAGTGCTGGGATTAAAGGTGTGCACCACCATGCCTGGCCTATTTATTTTTATTTTTTTAAGAGTTCATACCTATTTCAAAAGTGGTTGCACAAGTTCAAAACCCCCTCACCAGTGGATGAGTGTTCCTCTTTACCCCCACCCTTGCCAGCATTTGTTGTCATTTTTTTTTTAAAATATTTATTGTTTTTATTTTATGTGTATGAGTGTATTGCCTGCATGTATGTGAGTGCACCCGTGTCGTGCAGTGACACAGAGGTCAGAAGAGGGCTTCAGATTCCCCTGGAACTGGAGTTAAGGACAGTTCATAGCCACCATGTAGGTGCTGGGAATTGAACCCCGGGTCCTCTGCAAGAGCAGCCAGTGCTCTTAACCACTGAGTGGTCTCTCCAGCCCCTTTATTATTTTTATGTGTATGTGTATATTGCCTGCATGTAGGTAATTGCACCTGTGTCATGCAATGCCTGTGGAGAACAGAAGAGGCTCTCGGATCCCCTGGAACTGGTGTTACGGACAGTTGTTCGCTGCCATGTGGGTGCTGGGATTCAAATCCAGGTCTTCTGCAAAAACAGCCATCTCTCCAGCCCCCAAAGTAAGATTTTTTTTTAAAGAGAAAAATGAAATTTTTAGTTACTGTAAATGATTAGTAGGTTGGGGGAGTAAGTGTGTTGCATTCTGGGGATTGAACCCAAGGCTTCATACATGCTAGGTAAGTGCTTCACCACTGGAGTGTATCCAGCCCAATATTTTAAAAATACAAACAGCATTGTTGAGATAGGGTTCATATTCTAGAAACTGTTCCCCTAGAAACAGCCTGAGAAGGCAATTTTTAGATGGCCTATGACAGGTTTCTCAGATGAATAAAGGAAACAGAAGGAGGTGAGACAATAAGGTTATGATCTCAGCTAGAGGCCAGCTTTGTCACCTCCAATCACAGGGAAGCTCTGGAGGACAAACTGCCCCAGATTTGGGCCTACCAAGGGAGGACTGTCTATGAAGTGCATGAGGTAGAAGAGACAGCATGTATCCTCCAGGACAGAGTGCCCCCTGCTTTAGCTCAGACACTTCTCTGGGAAAAAGGGAAACTACATTTATCCATCAACACATGGGAGTATTTAGTGGGTGGATTCTTAGACAGGCACCAACAGCATCCACAGCTGTTGCTCATATCCATCTGCTCCTTAAATAGTTCATCCTAGTCAGAAACACTTCCCCAGGATTCCGACTGATAGGTTCTTGAAAAGTAAGAGGAGAGTCTCTAGGAAAGGAAAATCCCTGATGCTACATTTAGACCCTCTTGGAGACCAAAACATCATTTCCCTTTATTACTACCATCCCCTGACTAGCATTTCTGCTGGTCTGGGGAGTGGATTCCATGGATCCCACTCCTCTTTCCTGAAGGATCTGAACATTTATTAGGTTATAGTTTACTTAGAGCTAGATATGAGAGTACCTTAACAATGGCACAGATAGCTGAGTACCAAATGCATTCCTGCCTCTATTGTATAACACCATCCTTTCTTGCTAATGATAATGAGGGTCAATTACCTCTTTCCAGAATGATGAACTTTTTTTTAAATATTGAGGAAGCAGCCATGGCTTTATATTTTGTGGAACTCTTACTGTGTCACTTAATGGAAATCCTAGCCCAAGACATCCACTCATAGAGTCTGCAACTGCAAAAAAGGAAGCACAATTTCCCCCAAGTGTGTCACTGAGAGATGGTGAGCAGGGCACTCCAGTATCAACCCCTGATCACTAAGCATGGAGCACAGAACCATATATTGACCATTGAGATGTATAGCACATCTTGAAAGGCCCCATCCCAAGAGTGTCACCTCCAAAGTACCATCTTATTTGGGTCTTTAGAAGGACCGCCATTGCCCTATTGGAGCAGTAGCTTATAGACAATATAGCAGTGGGCCCATAGCCATGTGCCACCATTGAACGACAAGGCTATAAAGTAGGTGACTTGGCCTGAAGTGATAGTTTGCAAGACACCACATTGGTAAAGCAAACACTAAAATGCCTTGTAGATTTCATGGTGCTGGATAAGGCTCTGCAGGCAAATCCATACCTAGAACATACAACACATAGCTTTTATCTAAAACATAAAAGACTGGAAACTGCTGGGAGAGAATAGACTGATTTGATCATTTTGGCACCAAGTGGCTGGTTAGTCTCTTCAAAAATGATAGATGTTAGGGTTCATTGCTGGCCTTTGTTGCATAATTAGTAACATTAGTCAATCATCTTTGAGACCCTGGGCAGCTATCAATTCCACCATTGTGGCCATTCTGCTCATGAGACCCTGAGTAGATACTGGGTCAGTCAAAGGCAGAAACTGGCTGGCATTTACCGCTCAGCTTCTCTTTCCTACTTGATTAGTCAGTGTCTCTTCTGCACTGATATTCACTGCTGGTCATTCACCTACAAAACAAAGATTATTTGCCTTTGATTATTTGCCCAACAGATACAGATTTTCTATTTTTTCAAGATTTATGTTACTTTTTTGTCTATTTTGAGACAGGGTCTCCCTGTAGCTCCAGCTGTCCTGGAACTCGCTATGTAGACCAGGCTGGCCTTGAACTCACAGAGATCTGCCTGCCTCTGTCTCCCAAGGGCTGGGATTAAAGGTGTGCGCCACCACGCTTGGCAAGATTTATGTTACTTTTTAATTATGTGTACGTGGGTGTATGGGTATGTGCACATGCATATGGGTGCCTGTGAAGGCCAGAGGCATCAGATACCCTGAAGTTGGAATTACAGGTAGTTGTGAGCCACTGGACATGGGTGCTGGAAATCAAACTTGGGTCCTCTACAAGAGTAGTACATGTTCTTACCATGAATCATCTCTCTAGCCCCCAGTCTTCCTATTTTTAATTTTTGTTGACAGACAATAACTGTATGTTTATATCCCTGCAGACTCTCCTGTACCTAATATTTTTATTTATCTTGCTCTTTTCAGTATCCAAACAACTAGCTTGACCCTATAACCTACAAATACCCTAACTTCAGGCCACTTCCTTCTATCAAATGTGTGTAGCTTCTTGGATTACCATCTTTTAATGTCACCCTTGAATGGGTCATCAGTTCATTTTTGCACTCCATGCACTGAGGTAACCCATACAAATAAACCTCAAAATTTTACAATGTGGCAGGCACTAGAATATTCGTATTTTCACCCTTTGGAGTGCATGCATCCTACCAAGTACTTAGCTCCCCAAATACAGTTAGCTTGTGTCATTTGGACTGAGGTACTGCATGAGGTCAAGTTACTCTCAAAGTATACTACTACAAAGTAGAACTAGCATAGCTTCAGGAAGAACTATTGATATGTACAATTATAAAACTGTTGGCCCTATGTAAATACAAATAATGGTCCCTCTCAGTAGGTTTAGAATATACTACATTTTTCTAGTTGTAATCATATACCATGTTTCCAAGCTTCCATTATTTCACTCTATAAAGATACCAAAGCTTGGGCCAGCAATGTGGCACTTACCTAGCATGCACAAGGTCCTGGGTTTAAACACTAGTATGTGGAAGGAATGGCTCACAAGATACCAACTACTGCATAGTGGCTACCATTAGGCCACATTTTTACTGTTTTAGGGGATCCACTGTCTCATGCTCTGTAATTTAGCCAGTTTTTGAAGGGACCAAATTAAAAAGGGAAACTAAATAAAGATGTAGTGGTAACCACCAGTATTCATTAATCTTTTAAAAAATAGTTTACTGAGGTGGAATGCACATGATAATAACTATTCAGTTGTTTTATAGTCACAATGTGGTGTAATCACAGTTCGTTGTAGTTCCTACACTCCAAAGTGAATTCTTTACTACTAATAGGTCTGTGTTCTGACTCTGTAGATTTATTGATTCTGAGAATTTCATATAAGTGAATCATACACTATGTGAATTTTTGTGTCTAGCTTCTTCCACTTTCAAGATTCATGTATGCACTGTTCATTTCTTTTGTGATTAGATCATGTTCTATCATATATATATATATGATAGAACATATATATTTGACATTTTGTTTATTTACTCTTTGATGGACATTTGAGCTGTTTTCAACTCTTATCTGTTGAGAATTGTTATGTTAAGAACACTCCAGAACATGTACTCATTGTTAGAACACGGGCCTATATCTTTAGGCCTGATCCCATAGCCTGATTCAAGTCACACCTCCCTGCAGTTCTCTCAGAGAGGGCATGAAAAAGCAGTCTGTGCTGTGACTTGACAGCTCTCAATTTATGGTACCTAGCTCCTCCATGCTCCTTGTCACATATACTGTGTTGAACTAAATCACCTGATGTGAAACTTCCCACCACTCCTAAAAGGTTATTTTTTTTTTTAAGTCAGACCTTTCCTTTGTTCTGGGGATTGTTCCTCAGAGAGACTGCTC